CAGTCACCCGCAGCTTCTGATTTGACAACCGAAGCTAACTTCAATTGTGCGGACATTCTTCAACCAAAGTGCTAAGCTCATCTCCTTTTCATTTCCCAGATCTCTTCGCAGGTCTTCAACTGTTTGCTCCAAATCAGCCACCACATTGTCCTTAGAAGACATATTCTTCCTGACTTCTTCAGCCATTTCTTCCATCTTCCTTTCTGTGGCTTCAAGCTTTGCTGTGCATTCCTGAAATGAACTTTTGGCTTGTTTACACTCCTCATGTAGCACATTGAAGGCATCCTCTTGTTCTTTTACCATTCTCTCTTTATCTGCGATCTGGCTCATTAACTCATTATGTGCACCCTGTTTTACTTCAAGATGTTTTTGAAGGTCTTCAACCTCTTTTTTTAAATCAGCTACCATCTGGTCTTTCGATTCTGCATTCTTATGGAGATCTTCTGCCATTTCTCCCAATTTTCTCTCTGCAGCTTCAAGATTGATCCTAGACTCCTGGAGCAAACCCTCAACCTGTTTATATTCCGTGCTTAACTTGTCATATGCTTCCTCCTGCTCTTTCAGCATTATCTGCTGATTACTTATCTGGTTCATCAATTCAGATCTCTGATTCTCCAAATGAACTAGGCTTTCCAAATATTCTTTTTTCTCTCTATCAAATTGAACTATCATTCCGTTGTTCTGTGTCCGGAGAGAATCCAACTTCTGTTGGAGATCGGCAACTTTTTCTTGTAAGGCTGTTATTTCTGCTGAAGATTCATTCTCCAAGTGTATGTGTTTCTCCTCAAGAACTGAAAAGCGAAGTACTCTCTCTGCTAATGTTTTCTCCAATTCAAAGACTTTGTCTTGTAGCTCCAGCTTCTTCTTCCTCAACTGGCCATTCTCCTCAATTTTAGACTTTATCTTCTCTTCCAAGTCACTTTTCAATGTATGGAGTGAATCCATCTCCAATTTCAGATTCCTTGCCTGCTCCATCAAGTTTCTTTGGTCTTCCAGAATTCTCTTTTCATCCTGACTTTTGCTTACCATCTCCTCTTTCAATTTTTCAATTTGGATCAAGTATTCTGAAATGTCTTGAGATTTGCTCTCAAGTTGCAGCTCCCGTTCAGCTTTTTGGCTATGCAAGGATAGTAATTCTTGCTGCAATTCATTGACCTGATCCATCAAGCCATTGATTCTGATTGATGCTTCATCAGTTTTACACGCTAGCTGCTCTTCCAGTTCTGCTTTATGAGAATGTAAAGAATCCATATCTGTACGTAGATTATTGATCTCTGATGTCAAATTCTCTATTCTGGACAATGATTCACTCTCATTGTTCTCAAGCTTCTTCATGAGAGCAGAAAGTTTGTCTTCTCTCCCTTTAGACATCGTTTCAAGTTCCAATATTTGGGCTAGTAATCCTTTGTTATGCACTTCCAGTTGTTTTGCTTCAATTGCTTTGTTCTCTATCTTAAACTCCATGTCTCTATTGTGGGCTAGCAGAGATTCCAGCTCCAGTTCAAGGCCAGTAATCTGTGCTTCCAATCCGCTTATTTGAGCAGAAGACTTATTTCCATGCACTTGATGCAT